TTAACAGTATTTGTTTGTTTATTATAACACGGGTTATGACGCTTTCTTGTGTTTTTTTAATTGCTGCCGGATTAACTGTGGATGTCATTTTTGGTGTCATCACAACTAATTTTAAGTCTATAGTACTTTAGTACTGCAGAACTCTTACTACATCAGCATCTGGAATATAATCTTATAACTGGTAAGTAAAATGCAACTGAATTAGTGCGTTCGCTGTTTTATGATGATTACTCACGAATGTGAAAGAGATGAACATTAATGGATATACGGACAGCTGAAATGTAGTACAAGTCGTGAATTCCAAGCTACAAATTCGGATTTCATTCAAGTTAAATACAGGTTTCTCACAGTGGTATTTGTGTAAGTTTACTCAAAGGCAGCATATTGGAGAATCTTCCTAACATAACACATTTGAAAGTAATGTAAAACTCAGGGGGTTTAAAAAAATTTTATTTTCCCAAGTGTGAACATTTAGGGAGTACCTAAGAAGTATAAGAGTACGTGAAAATTTTTAAGTTCAATAATTTACAGGACTTAAGTCAAGCCATTTCTCTCTTACTATCTTCGTTTTCTATTTTAATCATTGATATAGTTTGGGATATCATAATTTCGAAAGAATTCATACATATCAGTTTGTGTGGGTTTATTTAATTTTAACTAAGGGTTAATTTATTTTGAAAGCAACCTTTGCTATAAATTCTCTTCTTCAACCCACGTTTCCTTGACAGAATGAGAATTTAGTTTCGCGCATTATGCAAAATAAGGTATGAAGTTACCATTTAAACTGGTGTCTGCGTTACTTCAGACACTGCCTGTTGAGAGTGTATTAACATCGTGTTCTGCCCTTCGGTCACATTGTTTCTCTACTAGTTAAGCTTTCTATTTTTCAGCCGTGTATATCAATTGCCAGTTAGTCTACCTCAATAGTAGCCAAGATCCAAGAGCCTTAAATATCTCTGCGAAGTTTCGGCTGATATATTGAACTTAGGGTTAGCTCTTAATTTTATGTTTTTCTATTTTGAGTTACCGCCAGAAGTGTTGACGAGGCCTTGTATGCACCAAAAGTACCGTCTATTTATATTATGAGTTTAAATAAAAAGACCTTTTTTTTTTTTACCTTTTTACCCTTCTTTTGTGATATTTCTCATAAAAGTCGAACTTAGCAAATAGTCGCTTCACATTTCAAGTTACGATCTAGCCTCCAAATAACTTTAACACTAGCTAGAATTTTAACATTAGCTAGAATTCACAGTTGAGGTTAAGATCTAGCCTCCAAATAACTTTAACATTAGCTAGAATTCACAGTTAAGATGTAGCCTCCAAATAACTTTAATATTAGCTAGAATTCACAGTTAAGATCTAGCCTCCAGTAAATTTAACATTAGCTAGAATTTTAACATTAGCTAGAATTTACAGTTCAGGTAAAGATCTAGCCTCCAAATAACTTTAACATTAGCTAGAATTCACAGTTAAGTTTAAGATCTAGCCTCCAAATAACTTTAACATTAGCTAGAATTTTAACATTAGCTAGAATTCACAGTTCAGGTTAAGATATAGCCTCCAAATAACTTTAACATTAGCTAGAATTTTATAAGTTTGTAGAGTCATTAGGTTATCTGCAGCAGGTAAAGTGAAAAAGGTGCAATGCCTTCGCCGGAACTCAAACCTGAACTTCTCAAATACGCGCCGAGTGTGCTACCGTTACACCACAAAGGCACGCAGAGAAGAGGGAGAAAATACCTTATAAATTCACCCTTTAAAGCTTTTAATAAGAAGTGTTTCCTTAGTTTTTTAACTAATAATCGCATAAAAAGAGTTAATTATGCGAGTTAAGAAATTAATATCTTTTTTAGGAGTACCATGTATCATTAGTTATTTACCTCACGCCCATTAAAATAGAGTTTTTTGTCACTGAAAGTACAAAAACGATACGGTTTCCAGAATAATATAAAGGAATCGGTCTAAAACTTTTCATCGTTTAAAGGGCTTCGAGTGATTTCAGAAATTCTGTTAAACTCTGAGACACACGTTTGTGATTCACTGTCGAAAGACTTTTAGTTTAATTTATATTAAAAAACATGAAATGTAAAATTATTATTTGTACCTGTTTTTTCTGTTATGGTACATTAGTCGGTCAGCAAACATATAATTTCGAAAAGCACTAATTTTTTTTTTGCTAAATGTGTCGTTAATAACATAAAATTAATATTGTTTCGTTTTATATATGAGAAATTATTTACTGAAGCATTTTACATTTAAGATGGACATCTTAGACGTATGTGGAATATTTTATAGCGTATTCGTACTTATAAAATTGAGTTAGTTCTTCAATAACTGAATTTTACTTTCGATATTATCACGAAAGACTTGTACTCATAGACACACACAAAAAAGCTCTGACTTCAGTCTTCAGTTATATGAGCAAAACATTTCAGTTTATATGTATGCACAGACAACTCGTGTTAGTACGATCTTCGATGCAATCAACCACAAACAACGACCAAGTTGTTATTGTGGTTGATTTATTTCACTTGCCTGATAGTAGCATCAGAACAAGTCAACGAAATTCATTATGGCAAGGAATGCAAGATTACGCCTGCCGTTGGCAGGAGCCTTAAGCACCATACAGGTGAGCATATTTCACAAGTGCACATCAGTGTAGCCACTGAGGGAGGGGTTTCGAAAATGGACCAATGAGCGAGCTGCTATTGCTCCTGTGACGCTAAATCTTCGTGCATGTGAGCGTATGTTGTTTACGTTTTAATTTGCATTTGTTTCGCAGTTATAAATATATGGCGTAATAGTAGAAAATCTCGTAGTGCTTTCGTTTTCTGAGTTTGATTATTCGCTGATATTTCACTTTCGTGATTTTTATCACGCATAATATTAGGATTGATGTTCACGGCATATTATGTATATTAAGAGAATCCAAGTGTATATTTTTTTAATTGAGCTGAAAATGACTGAAAGTCTTATAATGAATCTAGTGTTTTCTTATTTCAGTGCTTGCATTCTTTTGATTTTTAAAGTGTTAGATTCAGAATATATATGATCTGATTATATCCATTGTTAGCATTAAAAATTATATGTGAATAAATTGAATATACTCGTCGTGAATACGATAAATTCACTCTGTTTGATGATTATTTCTTGTGTAGAGAATACATTTAAGAGTGAGCATTTATTAAATGTGAAATTAAACGCACTAAATGTATACGAATGCAAATTAGTAAAGTTCACTTTGAATAAAATTATGCATTGGTTATTATTATAGAACATCTTTTTCATAGAGACTGAAATAAAAAGTGCTGACTTCTATTTACATATATAATTGGAGTAAATATCTTTCTCATACGCATAGTTTTATGTAAAGATTACATTTGGGCTCAGATGTTTATCACACATTTCTTTCTTCATCTTATTTACCACTTACTAAGTAATATTTCACATCGATATTTTTGCGATGTATCCAACATGTGTTTATATTTACTTCAACGAGGTAATGAAATCTTCATAATTGCCTATATTTGGTCTAGCTTCGCAATGAAAAGTTTCAGAAGCAGTCGACGATGCTTTAATTATTTTGTACAGAAAATTGCGTGGCAGAATATTTTCAACCATCTTACTTAATCTTAAAGCACGCGAAAGGTCATGTGACATGACAGAAATATTACTGGATGCTCATTGGTCCATCCTAGAAGCCACGCCCTCGGTGGCTACACAGATGTGCACTTGTGAAATATGCTACAGGTGACAGTACGACTTTGATAAGTTACGCCCCCAATTTTGATGAAGAGCTACCCGAGGGGGCGGGTCCGAGGGTCTTCCACCTCTCTTCCCCTACCACAACCTTTCAAGAGGACTTTCGGCTTTCCGCTTACTTAGAGTACCTCAATGACTCACAGACACTATACAATTACAAACATCCATTCCTTCACCGGGATTCGAACCCGGACACTTCGTAAGGGCAGTCAACGTCGCTAACAACTATCCCGGTTGGGCGGCTCGACCAGTTTTATTCCCAGCTCCCAGCTTTATAGTATTTTTCTTTATTCCACCGAGACAACAGCTGGTCCTCTTCGGGATGGTGCTTATCAGCCTGTTTAAGTCCTGCTGGTGATTCTAATTTTGTTCACAAATCCGGACATGTCTGCGGGAGCTGGCCTTATAGGAAGGGCCTTATAGGAAAGGGCAAGTAAAGTGTAGTCCAAGAATGAAGATAAGTATACGTTTAAGAGCATTCTGTTCTGACTCTTCAACTGTTAAGCTGCGGGAGGCAGTACAAGTGCTGTTCTTTTGGTTTAAAAACAGAGCTGTCTCTTTCGGAGCTCTTGAAATACAACACCGCTACAAACATGCTGATGTACTCGTTTGAAAATGTATGCATGGCAATAAACTATTACACGTATACAAACAAAACAATATATCATACAATTCATAAGATAAGTATTTAAATATTGTGTATTTTTGCAATACCAAAAACACTGGTGTATCAGTATATTTACATACATATAACGGTACGATGCAATAATAATATTAAAACAATATCTGTACTATACAATTATATTCCAAGACTAATGCATTAGCAGAGTTGTTCTACATATATTACTACTGTTATACAGAATTTACAATGAGGATATAAGTTCGAATAGAACTTGAAAAGATGTCTAATGGCTGATGTACTACTGTTTTTGCTTTCTTAAGCATAGTGGCTATTATAAAAAATATGCGGTTCGGGTAGTTGCATTTTTACTACACAATAACTTATGCATCTGTTAGATGCCAGAAATAATTTCCCATAAAACCATGATACAATGACAACTTCACTGTTTGAAGCAGAAATTGTCAAGGGATATTTCTTAGAGGGAAGTAAACAAAATATTCTATTCTGTCTTAGCAGGTAAATAAAAATTGACGCCTGGATTTTATTACATTATATTACAGTATAATACAGATTTCGAAATTAATTGTTCCATTATAGTAAAAGAAAGACATAAAAAGGCCCATCATAATTTAAATTTAATTCTGATATATACCATAATACATGCAGGTACACTCAAATTCATTTTAAGATATTAATGAATGTAATTATCATACATTAAATTTTCTTTATATTGATGCATAAGGTATTGATCCCTTTAAAGGAAAAAGAGTGAAAGTAAGAGTTACGATTATTAAAGTTTTCCAGAAAAGTGCAAATTTCATGTTCTTGGAGTTAAGTTTCTCTTCACTTCCGTTTCATATTTCATAAAGATATTTATTGACAAAATATTTTCCAAAATTTAAATGTAAATTAAGGCAATGTTCTAGAAGCAGCTGATTAATAACCTTTTTTCCATTTCCTAATTCTTAAATTATAAGACGAAACATTTCTTTTTAAAATATTATAGTATTATAATCGTCCCATCTGCATCTACTCGTACATCAGTTATTATAGACAGTTTTTGAAAATTATGAAACTTTTTGTTTCAATCTAATCTCAAATCCCGTTATCTGTACCCTGTGGAATATCATGCATTAATGATATCGTAACTGAACGTTTGTTAAATGTAATTCAAGATGCTTAGAAATGCAGATTCTGATCTGTGCTAATCAAAAATTCAATTTCTATAAAAGGATCATGCACATCAGCAAATTAAAGAGGAAGATAGATTGATTCTGTGTGAGTAGGATTTTTATTTACTCATACCTCTTATACATAGAATTTTGCTTATGATAATTTTTCAATCTTTTACGCGTGAATAATATTGTTGAATTAGTTTATTTAATTATGACAAAGCATGCAAGGACTATCTACATAAGGGGAGGAATGCGTTCGTGAATGACTTTCTTAGGGAAATCGGCTAAGATACATCTTACACATGGAAGCCTATGCAGCCAGTTTTTTCACCTGGAATTGAAACCATGTGGGAACGACCAGTGTTCAGCGACTTTAGGGGTCAGCCGCAGACATGATAGTTTTGTATATAGTAAATAACTTTGTGAAATTATATGAAATATATCTTTTGTATCAATGTAACCTGAAAGGCTTCAAGAAAGCGAAGCTTCGCTTCAAAAATAAGGTTACAGAGGCAAGTGTATTTAACAATAAGGTAAACGGCTGTGCCGAGATTGCAGCACGCTGGCAATAATTTTGGTGACTAAGTTTGTTCACCAAGCCGCCCAGTCGCTATGGTGGTCAGGGAATCTGACTGCGATGCCGAAGGGCCTGGGTTCCAATCCCGGAGAAGGCATGGTTTTAGCTGTCAGTCCCTTCATAGGAAAGGCGATGGTAGCCCAACTATTAGGTGCTTCCATCATAAAGGGACCACCACATCCGGCCTTGTATAGATTAATGGACTGGGTTACATTTGTAATTGTTCACAATCTACCATTGGAAAAAAAAGTTTGTTCACCAAATTTAGCGAAAAATTGCCAAAGTTGACGATATTTTGGTCCGATTCCTGTGTAACTGGCCCGATCCCTATGTAATTGTAACTGTATCTGGCACTATGTAACTGTAAGTATATATGCCTTTTAACAATTTCGAAAAATTGAAGGTACTGAAATTTTCTTAGTGGTCGAAGGAAAACTATATAAGCACCGCAGAGAGCATAAGTTCTCAGTTTAGCTCAGGGTATTGGGAGTATTAAGAGATCAGTGTGCGAAATTACGCATTTGAGACTTTTTGCATTGTTGAACGTTCTTAGTAGTTTTAAGAAGTAACTACTGATTGTGCTCTGGCATACTAAGAAGAGCTGCAAGAGAAATTTTGCATGAAGAGTACAGGAAATGTAAAACATTGTGGCGAAAATAAATTTCATCAAGCTGTCATCGCTTCTGTGTGCATTGAATCCATCATGAACTCATACATGTGTAGTAATATGAATACTTAAAGAAATTTCTAATATCATATCTACTTATGACTGTTAATATTTGACTTTAATGGATAAAACGCACAGTTTTCTGAATTGATGCAAATGAAAAGATTATTTTTAAACGAATAGCTGTCTAAATTATTCTCTTCTAAACACAGTCCATCGGTTTCTGTAAGACTTCATCGCTGATCTGAAATCCCATTTCATCCACAGAAAAAGATTTCGACTCCACGCATTGTTTTTGCTTGTAATTCCCATTTGGTGCACACTGATATTTTTTGAAAAATTCCAGTTCTTTACTGTTTGTCTGCACTTCACTGATCATTTCCTTTTCCCTGATGCATCCTGTTAAAGTGCAAAACTCAATGTACGTATAATTTTTAAAAGTGAAATTGCTTACATAGTTTGTTTTCAAATATTAATACTTACTACAGTTCATGGTTTTCGCTTCTTTTGAATTCCTAGGAACCCGGTAACCTTCATATGGCGATCCATTCTTCTTCACGCAGTAGCAACTGAAAGTAAAATAAACATTGTACGACTGCTGCTTATACATTTCTGTACTGTATGTATTATATACTACGAATTCAAAACATGCATGATGAACAGAATATTATATTCTTCGCACCTACTTAGCTTGATATGTTCATAGTCAATGAACATATCAAGCAGTATCATTGCACTTCATTATTAAATTCATATTATTCATCAAAATAGTACATTCTGAATTTCTTTGATGCATGCACATATATTTAAATTAATAAAATATTGCCTTGTAATTGTTATCGAAGAGAAGAGAGATATAGATTTCAACATGTTATTTGCCTTAAAAATTGGTAAACTTTAGTTTAATTTTAGAATTGATTTCTAACAGACAGATGCTCACTAGTGACTGGAACCATGTGGAGTGGTGATGATGTACTGTACTGATAACGAGACTCAATGTTTTGCTTTTATTAAGGTTGCGTATTATTTACTGCATATAGAATTAATATACTTTTACTATAAATCTATGAAAACTTTTATTCCATATAACAACACTGAAGGCATAGAAACAACTATTGCAGATTACTGTTCTCATTATGTGAGGATCTTGCTAGCGGCAAGACTCTGTCTACCCGGTCTTGTCTCAAACAGTGTGCAGACTGAATTAGTCATCGCTCGTATTTTTTCGGATGTATTTTGCGTCTTTCGATTCGTTATAATTGGAATGATATTGCATATTGCAGGAGCAACAGTATCGTTGGTCCGTCAAACCACCCTGAAATCGAGAGGCACTGGTTACAGAATCAGTGCAAATCGCTAAAATCCCTTGGTACTGGGCGTAAAGTTATGATTCTTGTAATATCAAATGGAGCTGTAACGAATTCTTGCTTCTGCAGTCTCAAAGCCTGTCATCTCTTACTTCATAACAGCTCGAACACTACGACCTGCGGCGGACCGTAAATATGAATTTCTTATCTTTGTATGGTCTGCCGCACATGAAATAATGTTACTTTCAATTTAAGATGTGTGGTGAATGTTGCAACGGCTGAATGCAGAGATGCATTCACGACGTTTCCTATGTATAATTTAAATAATCTGTTTTCATGTTAAGAATTTCCCAGAAAAAGCATATTTAATGATACCTTTTGAGTTTATTTCATACCTAACGGCGAAGATTCAGCGCATTTCCAAGAGATATATGATGAAGTCTGCTTTTGTCCAGAAAGAAGAAACAGATATAAATGATAACCAACTGAATTAATGAAGGAGAATGTAAAGGAAATTTGCTTTCAAGCTCCTAAATGGCTAAACATTGATAGCTTTAGTTCTCCAAGCAGTGTTTTTATTAAATAACTGCGATTATTTTTATCGAAAATATTTTTCTGTTATTCAATAAATGTATTGGCATTGCTAATAAGACGACGATAAAGAACAATTCATGGGCTTATTAATTTAGGGTTTCTAACTTTACTGTCTAACCCATATCTGTTGATAGTGAGGAATAAAATTTCAGGGATTGCAACAAAGAACGGCTTGTACCCTTGGGTAAAGAATTTGATTATGTAAAGTATGTCTTGGGTAAAGAGTATGATATATTTTGTAGGTACAATTTTGTATACGTACATTTTTGTGGGATTTGCAAACGCCAACTGAACATTTTCCACAAGTGTACTGGACGTAGAAAAGTTTTAATTAGGCATGGAGTTTATACGATTAGGGACACTTTTACAACTAAAGGAAACCTAAAAATATGGTGATAAAAAGAATGTTTTGCAATTTCATGATTAAATACACTTCTTAGAAGGAAAAAAAAACAAATGATTACAGTTTGAGAAAAATTGGATAATTTATTGAAGTGTTACAGCTTTACAAAGTGAAAAAGTCAGTAACGCGTTTGCCCCCCTCTGGCCCTTAAGCAAGCAGTTATTCGGCTTGGCATCGATTGATAGAATTTGCGGATGTCCTCCTGAGGGATATCGTGCCAAATTCTGTCCAACTGGCGCGTTAGATCTTCAACATCCCGAGCTGGTTGGAGGGCCCCGCCCATAATTTTCCAAACGTCCTCAACAGGAGAGAGATCCGACGACCTTGCTGGCCAAGGTAATGTTCGGCAAGCACTAAGGTAAGCGGTAGAAACATGTGCAGTATGAGGGCGGGCATTATTTGCTGAAATGTAAGCCCAGGGTTGCGTGACATGAAGGGGAACTCAACGGGCTTTAGAACTTCGTCGACGTACCGCTGTGCTGTAAGGTTGCGACGGATGACAACCAAAGAGGTCCTTCTATGAAATGGAATGGCACCCCAGACTATCACTCCTGGTTGTCGGCCTGTCTGCCGGAAGACAGTCAGGTTGGTATCACACCGCTGTCCGCGGCGTCTCCAGACTCACCTTCGCTGGTCATCGGGCTCAGTTCAAAGCGAGACTCATCACTGAAGACTATTCTTCTCCAGTCAGTGACATTCCAGTGCGAATGAGCCCGATACACTGCAAACGGGCTTGACGTTGTACAGAGGTCAATGCCAGTAGCGCAGAGTAGATGCACTATAGCGACAACCGTTCATTCATTGGCAACCAAAATGTAAAATTTTGCATTTTACGTCGAAACCTGTATGCATATCAATTTGTATCCAATTTGCTTTATATCTTCTCGGTGCGTCGTTTTTTTTTTTTTTTTTTTTTTTTTTTTTTTTTATTTTTTTTAAATCTAAAAGTGTATATTTATTTTTCGTAGTAGCTATTAACTACTTCAAACCGAATGTAGGTAATTTTTGTTGTATCTTATATGAATATTAATTACCCACATATGTTATAATGATTTGTTTTAAATAAGTTTTAAACAACACTGATTTACTGCTTAACGACATACAAAAAAAAAAAAAAAAAAAAAAAAAAAAAAAAGCTTTTCGCAAAAAGAAACTCATCTTTAGATTACAGATTTTTTCTACAATAGAGCAATTCACGTCAAAATAATTAGCAATAAAAAGTGTAACAAAATAATAAATATTTTTAGGAGAACAAAGGATTTTAAATATAACTTCGTAATGTATAAAATGTAAAATATATTGTAAAAACCCCACCTGTCTTTCTTACATTGTACTGGCGCGTAACTGCCATCTAAATCGCATTCGGGCAAATCAACTCCTAATATTTTCACACCTTGCCTCTCGTACTCTTCTATCTGTATTAGAAGCCTGTTCCTTTCCCGCCAACATTTACTTCTCAAGGAGGCGTCGTCATACCTGTGCCGAGTCTGATCATCTGAAGAAATGATAATGACATTACAATATTATAAAGGAAAAGAAGATCCAAGAAATGGACTAAATGTAATTTACCAAAAACGTCTTTGACATTAGATGAAGCATGACTGGTCTCAAATATCGGGTACATGAAACATTTGTTTTCTGAGAGCGAGAAGAACACTGGATTCATACAATCATAAAATAATTACACTGAACGATTCTTCGTAGAAATAAATGCTCTGTGTTTTTTGATTGGACGTCCCATTGCATTGAACAGTTTCGTTACATCATTTATAGTAGGGTTTCTTAAACGTTTTTCAGTCGTGACCCCCAGGACCCCATAATATTTACGAAAATTTTGTGGGGTCCCATAAGCATTGCGCAAATCCGATACATGCGTGTATGAAACTATGAATTTTTTCACTTGTACTGTAATATACTATTGCAGTTTTAGGTCATTAACTTTAATTTCTAATTTTAAGATACAGAACAATGTGAAAATTTTAAATAAGTAACAGACGACATGTGAAATTATTATAATAAGTTAAAGAAATATCAAAACAGCTAAATTTTTGGAGACCCCCTGCTGCAGGTTCCGCAACCTGTTTGGAGGTTGCGACCCACAGATTAAGAAACGCTAACCGTAACTCAAATTCTCAAAGCATAATGAAGCGGACAGACACACAATGCTAGAAAAAGTGGTACGAGGAAGAATTTGAAAGATGTGGTCTTGTAAAATTTTCAGCTGTACACCTGCTCAATACTGAGACTGGGGATACGTGGTTAAGGTTGGTAATATCGTTATATGTTGTGTGTTTGCCTTTTGCTGTTATGTTGATAAAAGTTATGTTGTATAGTTTGAAAAGTATCTGGTTTGCAGTTTCTCTGCGAAGGAAGCGGCTTTCTTGCTTCTTCAGAAGGAAAGCAAGCAGCAGAAGCGTGCCATCCAATGTTTTGATACTACTTAAATCAGAGAACATTGAAGCACATAATGAACATAATGCAGGGTTGTTCTGAGATCTGTAGTGTAATACATATGTCTCTCTATATATGCCTTTTCTTCGAATTAGAAATTTAAAGGTAGAACGGAAATGTACACTTTCATGCAGTATTCAACGTGGGATTATCTAACCTGTTATAAACTTTATGGTGAATTCTGTATGCGTTGTACACGTTTTCGTCCATCATTCTTCATTAGTTTCCTGAGAAAAGTCTTCCTCACTCCTGATGCATCTCAAACTGAAGACTATCTATGCTTCACCTAAAGACTTGCACGAATATATATAAGTACAGAAAGAAGACTACACATAACTATACACGTAGGATGGAGAAATTCGCTTTGTTTTGTATGTAGAATAAATTACACAATTAAATTAAAATAAATATTTCATATAAAATAAATATTTATCTATCTGAAGTTCCTTTCATACGTTAGCTGATATTTTATAAAAATAACAGAACTGATGCTCCCGTTACCGTAAAAAGAAGGGTTGATAGCATCATCACTTGAGATTTCAGAATAAACTGCAATCCTATCATTAATTTACATGAATATCATAAGAGTGCTTTTTGATTTGTGATTCAAATATTAACTAGTTAATAGTCATTACAAATAGCTATTTGCATTACAGACATACAGAAGGTGTTCACACATTTTTGTAACGATTTTGCGAAGATTTATGTATAAACGAAACTTATAATATTATTTTCTAATATGTTTAGTCTGATAGCCCTGTTATAGAACTATTATATTATACCTTGATTTCCAACATAAAAGTCCTTTTCTTAAGATCAATGTTAATTTTATTCTACTCCTCCTTCACAGTCTTCCAGAGTCCATTCAATGTTTTGGGATGCCGCTTATAAAGAGTTTGTTTTAAAAGTCCAAATGCACAATAATCCCTAGGTGACACATCAGGGGACTTGGTTGGGATGCATTTAAAAAGGAATAGCTTCAATTCTGGTTTCATTTCTCGTTTTTCAAAAAATAGAACAGTAGATTTAGAGGTATGTCCTTGGAGCCTTATCCTAATGGAACTTGATACAGTGAAGATTGTTTGGATAAAGAGGTGGAATTTCGTTTTTAAAAATATGTGAACATATTTGTGATAATAATACGAATTAATTTTGACATTTGTTTTTATTTTCCTTACTTTAAGTTTTCCTTTATAACAGAATCCAGTAATAACCATAAAATCTTTAGAAAAACTTTCCTTGTTGTCTCTGAACCAATATATTAAGTCTTTTTCTCCACGTTTTGGGTAGTAAATTGATCTTTGCTATTGTAATCCAATATGAATATCCAAGCCTCATCAATAGTATTTAAATGTTTGCATTTTTTACCTGACAAATAATTTTCATACAGCAATCTGCACATAGTCTTACAATGAGAAATATGTTTCGGCATTTAGACGATGAACATCACGTTCTTTGTTTTGATTAGCCTTAAACCAGATTTTATAATTTTTTTCGCAGTTACTTCAGAGATATTTCAAGATTTTGCAATAGCTCTTTGGGGGTCTGGATTTTTCTTTAAAGCACGAGATGCGACTTTAGATTTAACTTGAGCTGTGCGTACCTTTGGTGGATACTCATTTTTTTTTGGCCTTCTCCCCAGCCAGATGTAAACTTTGACATTTCTTTCCTTTCATATTAATTATGTCACTTATTATACGTGTAGAAATATTAAAACCATGCTTTTCATATCTTTCTTTAATAACCGAATAAGAGTATTTCTCTTCGGACAGCGGAAAAATATAGCCTTCGATCCTTGTTTGTTTCTCAGCTACATTTGAAAGAAAAGAATATTTTTAATGCTGCAGACGATAATATAACATCATTCCAATTTAATGGCAGTCACGTTTGTATTTCAAAACTGATATTTAGATTCCTGGAGAAAATCAAAATCGTTATAAAAATGTATAAACACCTTCTGTATTTTAACAAGAATAAATGTAATACGTAAGATTAGGTTAACTAATCTGCGAAATTCTCTGTCAGCTTTACTGCACGCATCATCTCCAAAGCGCTTTTCTTATAGAAGATTTGAAAAATATATACATATACATATATGTATTCTAAACCAGGAAGAATTAACGGCGTTAGAAGTTTTTCTTAATACTCTAGGAACCGTCAACGAACGTCTTTCAAAGTATAGATGCTATGGAACACAAGAGAAGTTTGAAGCGATGTCGAAGACCCTTTATCCTACTCAAAACAAGAAAGCAACTCGATGGCAAATAGGTCTCGATACAGGATGTCTCGCTTTCTTGATAACAAAGGAAAATATGATCATTTGAATGGCTCTTTAGTATACAATTGAAAACTTTCTGGCAAATATTAAAACCTCACATAAAATTGTACCAATGAAATTTTCGGTTACGTATGGAGATGGATTAACCAATATGCAAAATTAAGGCATCAAAGAAAGGAGGCAACACAAAGGTGCTTATGGGCTCAAGAAGAGAGCCACCACAAAAAATTCCCATTCCTGGTTTTACTACGGAATATATAGTGCAGCTAAAACCAAAACCAGGAGAGAAAGAATGAAGAAAAATCCCTGCGTCCAATGTATATGGGAGGCACCAAAATTATTTTTTAAGCACTTAGGCCTTCTAAAAGTTATTACGACCTTGCACAAAAATGTGTTCATAAAGAGATAGAAGAAAACAAATACACTGTAATGCATGCTATCTTCTATTAGTTGAAACAAAATCAACTTTAAACGTATTTTTTTACTTACGCTGAAAATCTGCTGTTGTTGTTGTGACTTATCTCACTTGTCTGACAGTAACATCAAAACAAGTCTACGAAATTCATCGTGGCAAGGAGAGCAAGACTTCACTTTTTGTTGGCAAGAGCCTTGAGTACCATACAGGTGACAGTGCGACTTTGCTCAGTTTGCTGAAAACCTGATTAAAACAAGGGGTTATCCGAAACACTCTTAGGTATTCAATTCAGCATTTCTTGGTTTGATTTATTTAATTCGTAATTCTCCTACGAATATGGGCATGTGAAAGCCCAAATTTCAAATTTGGAATTTGTTTTATGATCGATTTCATGTTTTGTAAAACTTTAACGAATGTTAGATTAACAAACTCAAGGATTTCAAAGCGAGCCATGGCAACGTCGTACAGAAAAAAAAAACATTTTTATCTCCAGCGCGTGAGTCTGTACCGGAAATTCTAAAGATATGCTCAATTTAAAAACTATTTTGCGATATTGCTGTTGAACTGAATTTTATTTTATTTAATATGAAACATATTCTCTCTGGGTTTTAATTTTTAAGAAGGCTAATCCCTCATACTTTTAAAAGTTCTCTTTTTTGCTGGGGGAGGGGGAGGGTTTCCGTTTGAACCGTTTGAATCAAAATTTAAATTTGAAATTTCCCTGACTGCTAGCCATTCTTGCAGCACATATGCTGCTACCAAAATCTTCAATCTTCGCTTCTTATTTCTTAAAAAAATGGATGGTATCTATTTCATATTTGTACTTGAAAAGCTAAAGAAGAGAGTTCTGTATTTAAACTATCGAAAAAAGTCCGGCAAAACTTACTTACTAATTATTTACTTACTATTACTTAATTTTAATATTCTTGTTGTTTAACTTTTCCAATAATCTATTTCATGCTTACATACTTTCGAATGTCTAGGAAAATCGACTTCTCAAAAGAATTGTTTTTAACTTTTTCTTAACTTCTAATTTTTCTTCATTGGTGAATAAGGAGACGGAACTTAATATTTTTGGAAGCTCCAAATTATTAGTCCAAAGGGGTTTTGTCCCTGAAGGACTATTGTTTTCGTTTTGCGATTTTGCGTTGCATCACTATAAATGTCTGTTGCACTTTTCAAACCGTTGCCACCAATGTAAGAGTCATGCACGATATTTGAAGAAATTAAATAATGAAAAATCTGCATAAATGTATGTCTATTTCTCGCATTGTGATAAAACAACGGTAGATAGAGGCATCGAATTTTGAATGACGTAATTCTCCTACGAATATGGGCATGTGAAAGCCCAAATTTCAAATTTGGAATTTGTTTTATGATCGATTTCATGTTTTGTAAAACTTTAACGAATGTTAGATTAACAAACTCAAGGATTTCAAAGCGAGCCATGGCAACGTCGTACAGAAAAAAAAAACATTTTTATCTCCAGCGCGTGAGTCTGTACCGGAAATTCTAAAGATATGCTCAATTTAAAACTATTTTGCGATATTGCTGTTGAACTGAATTTTATGGCTTAAGTGCGAAGAACGTGATATTTAATAAATAAATGTAACAGATAAAATTTAAAAAAAACGCCCCTTTGAACGTAATTTAAAATCTGAAACCTTGCCGAATTTTTTAAAAATTCGTTTATATAAATTTGTAGGATTTTACTTGATCTGGACCTGGTAATTTGTCTAAAAACCCAAACAAACTTGAAGCGAATCATCTCTGTGCCTGAAATAACTACAAGTCGTGAGAAAGTTACTTTTAAATGAAATAACGTTTAGAAAAGAAATTTTATAACGTGAGAAATCAATATTTTATAACGTGAGAAACAAACATTTTATTTAAAAAGAGTTTAAAACATAAACGCATTTTCTCTTGCTAATACTATCAACCACAGCTTGCGGTAATGCAGCTAAACTGAACAATCATATTCAAGAATTAGTAGACAGGGACTAAATGCCGGAGCTTAGAGATCAAAATATCGGCAGCGATATAACGCAAAGCCTATTAATTACAGCTGTCAGAGCTGGCAGGAAGCACACGCAGCGTGCACTTGAAGCCAGGAAATATTCTGTTTCAAAATTAAAAAAATACAATCTATAAAAAATCCTCAGTTAAAATACTGGTTATCTCATTTGCATTCTGATGAGAAAAACATAAAGAAGAAATTATAGTAGAGGCTGAAATTATAAATAACTGGTTAATTTAAATAATAACTTTATAGTGTTATAAAATCTTTTCTACCTCCTTTCCGCATGCCTTCGTGGAATAACTGGAAGCACACTCGACGCGTATTCGCCAGATCCGGGGGTTCTAATCCCGGCGAGGTCATTGTATGTTCTTCACGTCTCTAGCAGGAAAAAAACCACTACTGATTCTACAGTATTTGAGGCAAGGTTTTTTGGTAAATCATTGCTTCGTATTTATGATATATAGAAATTCTCCATAAATCATCTAATTATAAATGGCTGCACTTTAAAATGTTACAAATAGAAGATAACGTTCAACTAGTTTAATAATTGCATTTATTATTGCTACTCTTAAAACAAAATTTTCAGTACGGAATTTTATTTTAAAATAATTAAGCAATGTGGATTCGGTTATTATATAAGGTATTTCTCCCACCTTCTTAGCATGCCTTTGTGGTGTAGTGGTCAGCACGCTCGGCGAGTATTTGAGAGGCCCGTGGTTCGAGTCCTGACGAGGCATTGCTCATTTTTCATCTCTCCTGCTTCGAAATAACCTAATATCTCTACAGTGGCGCCCGACCTAAAAAAAAGTGGTTGAGGATGATTCTCCACCACTGGGATTTGGCGATTGGGTCCCCTAATCTCCAGTCGCCCTATAAAAGGAAGAGTGCATAAGGTATTTTTCCCGCCTCCTTAGCATACCTTTGTGGTGTAGCGGTCACCACGCTCGGCTCGTATTCGAGAGGTCCGTGGTTCGAGTCTCGGCGAGGGCATTGCTCCTTTTTCATCTCCCCCGCTTTAAAAAAATACCTAATGTTTCTATAAGTATACAAATAGCTAATGGAATAAACTGATGATAACAGTAAAATAACGACCTTTTAACATCTGTAACAATTCCGTGTACATAGAAGTTTATATAGTTTTGCTTAGTTGTTTATTTACTTTTGGTAAAGAGGAAAATAGAATCGCAAAAGACTGAAAAGTACTTACAACATGTTAATTCTTTAATGCTCGTGTTAGCAGGGACGATGTAACCCACAACGTTGGAATTTTCATTCATACAATAGCAGAAATCTTCTGTACATTGCAATGGATCGTAATCGCCGTTGGGAAGACAGCGCAGAAAGTCTCCGTTTGGAATATCTCTTGGGAATTCTTGAAAATCTCTGCTGCAGTCTGAAAATATGTAATATATGAGGAACAAAACTCAGGAGAATGTAAAAACTGAAAATTAGAAGCAAAGATGGAAATAATGAATCAGAAAATATCTGTGAAAATTTTCTAATAATTTAATAGCTATTATTTATTTTATTTTAATATTTATTGAGAGGTTTGAGATTGTAACGGTCCAGGGTTAAACAGTTTGCAACTGTCTGTTCTATGTCCTGGTAACGGTCTCCCAAAAGGGTTTGCTAAGGTTTTTTTACGTTCCGGGATCGCAGTCTATCAGTCTGCTGCTATACTCACTCCTACTAAACCCATTTTTTTTGTCTTTTTAGCCTTAATATTAAGCATTATTTTCTTCACACTTACGCATATACTGCAAAACTGCAAAAAATTTAAAAGCAGCATTGAATTCGTATAGAATTCTCAAGGCAGCGTTAAATGTTGAAATAAAACATTTTTTTCTATTTTCTTCCGGTCTTTTATCAGTTTATCATATCAATGAACTAAGAATATTTACAAAACTTTTTTTTGTCTTTTTTCATTTGTTTATCAAATATCACGCTCTTGGCGCTTATACCACATAAAATTCGATCCAACAGTGAAATCACAAAATATTTCAAAACAGAATATATTTAGAATTACTGATAGACAGTCTCGTGCACTGGAGATAAAAATGTTTATTCTCGTTCCAGGATGTCACACCACGTGGAAATATGTTTGATAAGAGAAAGATTTGCAATTTCGTTAGAAATCGGAGAGTATCGGACATTTCAGATACATTTTTGAGAAACATGTGCTGTGTATTGACAGAAATCATCTTTTTGAAAAATGGCTTGAGGACAGTGATGAACAGCAAAATCGATTAGAAATGTTTTGTCCATAAAATTGCATTTCTGGGATAGTGGTACAGAGTACTACTAAAACTGCTGTTACTATCGCAGGAAACGAATTTACAGGTAATCACATTAATAATTATGGGATTCTACCGTGGAATTCAAATTCCGTGGCTTATTTTTAGTCTCATATTAAAAGGTAACTTTTACTCACTGCCAGCGGACATATCTCTGAAGACCATATATTTAGTTCCAACAATCTCTGATGTTTAATACAATTACCACAGAAAATCGATGACAACAATCCTCGCCAGTCATCGCAGGCGATGGAATAGCTTCTTGGGATGCAACATTGTTATTCGGTAATGGTTAGGTTGGACATATCTATATCTGAAGATGTGGCCACATGCCCATCGTCAGGCAGCGGGAATGTAATATATCAGAAGTGAAATGAGACTAAGGTAAATACAGGCCACTAAAAGTTATAACAATGAAGAGCGACTTAATGGTTTCTGTTCGAGCATTTTTTACAAGCACTTTGTTGTGACGTGCTCTCATTCTTCTGCCCTTTTAACAACCGTAGGTCGCTGCTTTATCTTTGCTAAACTGCTGCTTCAGCTTTTCTTAACTTCGAACCGAAACACAGGCTGCTTCACGGATCAGTTGTCCTAATCAGACTGTTTCAGGCTAAAGATACCATTACAGTACATAAAAAATATTCAGTCCATTGAATAAGCACAATAACGAAACCGAACGTAACGGCACAACTGCCGTTACGTTCGGTCATTGTGCTTTATTCTTTTGTTGGATAAAATTATTCCATCCGCTATGGATGGCCACTTGTGAAGGAGGGAGTTTTTTTATCATTTTCCCATTCAAACTTTATTGCTTTTATGTGGAATTTTATTGCGATTGAATGATGTTCTTCTCGCATGCATCAACTTTTTTAATACATATCTTAAACTAATAAAATATATAATTTTGGAGAAAAAGTTCAAAAAGTGGCGATTACGCAAATAGATATAAAAATTAGAAATATTAAAAACACAAATAATGCTTGTCATCGCTTTTTGATGGATTCAAGCAAAAATAAAAAGCAACTATTTTTCTTAAATCACGCTTAAAATGATTTAGAACAATGGGAGGCTCTACGATTAGTGTGAGATTACTCAGCAAAATTTGGAAATTTAGTGAATGGTCCCTGCATCGGAACGTTCTTGAAATTTCTGCTATGAGATTATTAAAAGAGAGGGCGGCAAAGCATCATGAAAGTCTATTCAGGGTAAAACATGAGCTGCGATGTGTTTTTCATCAATTCTTTTATTTGTGGACTGCATAGTGTGCGACGTTTAAAGCCGTGTGCACTAATTCGGAATTGAATACTCACATTACCATGACATTCAAATGGATTGTTGAAACCCTATAACCGGAAAGGACGTATGTATATATATATATATATATATATGTGGCCTAGAATATTTTTTGTGATATCTCATAGAACGTATATATACGTGCATATTAAAATATGTCAAAGAAACTAAGGTAATGTATTAAAAGTACACAAATCCAGGTATAAAATTCCAGGTGAATTTTTACATTAAAATCAAGAAAATAATTTTTTCTCATAGTAGTTTTGGGAAATTTGTGCTTTCTTAGCGAAAACCCTGGCTGGTCAGAGAGTTAAGACATAATACACGATTTATGCACCATACAGGTGACAGTACGACTTTGCTCAGTTGCGCCCCCAATTTTGATGGAGAGCACCCCGGGGTGACAGGTCCCATTCTTCTTCCACTAACATCAACCTCCCGTGAGAACTTTCGGCTCGCCGCATATTTAGAATTCCCCCATGCCGCACAGACACTACAGATTTACAAACGTACATGACTTCTCCGGGATTCGAATACGGGCTCTTCGAGACGGCACTCAGTATTATTAACCGCAATCTCGGTTAGGCAGCTCACGTACTTTTCAAATGGCAATATCAAACTTGATAATTAGCAGCATTTTCTAAGGTTTCATTTATTTTTACAAATGGTTATTTTATTTTGTGAGCCTTGAGTTCTTTTATTTTCCTCGCACTTCTTCGCCGATTTGTAAATGAATTAGGGTGAACGACAGTATTTAAACTGTTAGAGCAAAAAGGTTAGACAGAAGGTGATTTCGCTACTGTGAGCGCACGTTAGAAGTTTTTTACCATCTGTTAATTGTACTGGCTACGCATTCTTGCCGCTGAGTTATTATCCTGCCGGTGTAGGTTTCTGAGTTAACCTGTTAACTTGAATTGGGTGGTTTCGCACTATGTTTTACCTTAAAATGTAGTGTTATATTATCTTTTAAGCATTGTGGTCTTGTAAGCATGTAAGTCCTTGCCATCTGTTAAATATTTTGTGTTCAATAAAAGAGACTTTTAAACCCTTCCCTTGGTTGCATTCATTTTCGAGAATTTTCAAAGGTCAACACTTAGGTCGATTATAGTAGTTTGGAGTGGATGATCATTGTAGACTCACGTATGTTTGGGCATTAATATAGTAATACGTTGCAAATACGTAACCCAAGTGTAAGCAACTGAATGCTTTCGCCTTGAAGAAGAAGGTTCTGAAAATAGGACTATTCGGCGTTCATTCACAATCCGTGTGATAAAGCTCTTTGCTTCTCTGCCACTAAAGAGTGGCAACCACATTTCAATATATATTATCATTTCCAGCCCAGGAAGAATGGAGGAAGTGTTTTTACGACAAATTAAAACCTTCATGAACATTTAAAAGCTACTTTTGTTGATATTTCTGAATTCCAACCGTAGAAGGAATATATTTTGGCAGATACTTTGAGAAGACTTGAAACAATCTAACATATATTCAGCTATGAAAATACTGCGCAACTTTACATAAATAACTTTAAGTAATTATAAGATTAGTATTTTATTATTTCGTAGATCATTTCGCTTATAGGGTCACTTTTGTGAACCTTGTCTATAATAACAAGGAAGGGTTTGGTTTGTTTAATTATGGCAAAGCACGCGAGGACTCTCTGCCTCAAGGAAGGGATGCCTTTGTGGAGGATGTTCTTAGGAAAACTGGCTCGTATACATGTTACACATGGGGAAAACCACCAAAATTCTCAAGTATCCAGCCCGTTTGCCTAGAATCGAACCCAGGTTGGAACGACCAGTATTCAGCGACTTTACGGCTCGGCGCTGGTAATAAGGTATGATTTTGGTATGTAATGAAACAGCATGCTGAACACCACATATTTTTAGGAAAATCATCAAGCTTCATGCATGCGAATTAGTTATATAATATTCCGCTATAGCTCTAGTATGCTTAGGAAACATACACTAACGAGCTCTAAGAAGACTCTAGAAGAATTATCAAAGTCTTATGATACAAACAAAAGTCAGAAGAAGGGTGTATAAGACCCTTTTATTCAAACACAAAGATCTTCATAGACGGCTCCACTTGGCTTACATAAGCCAACACTTCTAGCTAAAATAAGTAATGTTGAAGTCAAATCAAATGTATTTAGATTAGCCTCACAGGATAAAGTAACGTGTAGGAAGGCTCTGGTTTGTAGAAAACCGGCGAGACAAGCCTAATGGCTCAAAGCACTCAACGCTAGAGAATCAAATCGCTATTTAGTTACGGTAACAACGTGGCCTCGAGTAGACAGAATGCGCTGTAAAATTAACTTGCGAAACCTTCGCTAAAATAGTACTTCCTTCTCTCTCAATCTGAGTAAACGCTCGCCGTCTCATTTACATTCTGGCATGAAAAGCGTGGGTGAAAAGGAGAGCGAGAGAGAAAAGTACTTTAACACAGAATTAAACTATTAGTCAAAAAATAAATAGATAAATCCTCACACTGCATATATTCAACATATAAACATTTACAGAAATGTTACACTTTATAATAAAAATACACATTTTTTTAACTGCATATTTTTTTTTGGGGGGGGGAATAAAATCTACAAACGATAAGATAAAAAACGCGGTCACTTAAAATATAATAAATGCGTATTTCGATTGATAAGAAAAGAACCCAATTATCTGAATTTTTTATGTATGCATACGGATTCGGTCCCGGTTTTTTCAGATATTTGAAGCTTTAAAGTTCTATCGTACAAACAAAAGATGGAAAAAAAATAGAATATTCCATATAAGAAACAATAGAAGGCGAA